CTGGAATCCAGTAACATCTACTGCCGGAACGCACTTTGAAATTGTCGAAATGCCCTTTGCAACTGCCGGACCGTACTTTATACAGTGCCAGAGCCCTACTGCTGGACCGCACTTTACATAGTGCTGGAGCCCTATTACCAAACCACACTTTACATAGTACCGGAGCCCTACTGCTGGACCGCACTTACACGAGCTGGAGCCCTTATTTTGGTGAGATAGAGGAGAGAGAGGTGTGGGTAAGATAATAGTAAGGGAGGGTAGTTTAGGCTTTTTCTTATTTTATTTTTGGTTGGGGATTATTTGCATTGAAAGTGTATTTTGAAGAAAAATATAAGCAAAAAAAGTTAGGTTGGAGGTAAGTTGCATAGAAAATGTAGTGTTGGTAGTTTTTTGTAATTTTTCCAAAAAAAATAATTCAGCCGGGAGGACATGCCCCGACCCATTTTTTCAGATAGATTAACGAGTTAGCTTTTTTTGAAGGTGTCAGTGGATGGTACGAGTCGGTTGTGGTCGGTGGGTGGCGTCAGTAAGATTGGAAACTACAACGTGGTAACTAAGATGGGATGCCACCACCACGACCCAACCCCTTTCTTAAATTATTCTACTTCTTGATGATCATTTGCTATCCGTCATCCATTACTAAATTAATAATTAATGAATGCAGGAGATCATAAAAGAAAGAACGAAATTTTGATGCTTGTATGGAGAGAAAAACCTGATGTGTTAATCCTACAGGAAACAAAGCTCCCTTGCCTGAGAGTCCATTCGATGAAAGTTATTGGGGAAATGTCTCAGTGCAATTTTTTGGTAAATACAGTGATGGTGTTTCGGTGGTATGTGGATTTTAGAATCGTACCTTTTCGAAAAGTCTTAATTTTGTGCAGGGTGATAGAATTGTGTCAGTTGTATTAGAGGTTCCTATGTCTATTTTTAAATGGATGCTAATTAAGGTTTATGTAATTCTTTTATGAATTTATTCTGCATCTTAAACTCCTTATGTTCCAGTTGGTGGTGAGTATTTCACATGGTCTAATAACAATGCTTAGAATTTAATCATGTCAAAACTTGATAGATTTCTCTTTCCAAAATCAGTGGGAGACATCTTTCCCATTGGTGTGCGATATAAGTTTTACTTGAACTTTTTTCAGACCACACACCAATGATAGAGAAAGAACTTGAGGGGCCAAGACCATTTAGATTTGAAATTAAGTGGCTTGAGGAGGCGGAGGGGGTAAATTGATCAAACAAACATTGTTCAATATAATAGCATGTGAAATGTATGAATATCAGAAAAAAAAAAAAATCAATTGCAGCATCTAAAGCACAAATTAATTGAATGGAAATGGAGCAATTGTTATACTGTGCTAAACGAAATTAATGCTATCCTCTCTAGTATTCAGTAACTAGATGGTGCTGAAGAAGAGTTGTTGGGTCTTAATGAAGAATAATTGCTGCAACGAATGAGGCTAAAAAGCAATCTAAATGAATGCCTGAAGAAAGAAGAAATATATCAAAGACATAGATAGAGAAAAAAAAATGCTTAAAAGAGCAGGACTTCAAAACCAAATTCTTTCATTCAATAGCAAATTCTATGAGAAGAATAATAATATTGATGTGTTGCACATTTATGGTGTGCAAGAGAATGACAAGGAAGGTTTGGAACATGCTATTGTTAATCATTTGAAAGAAGCATTCACTGCAGAAGGAAGTCCTGAAGTGAATTTTACAGATGTTCCTTTTAAGACTCTACCTTCCGAAGTAGAAGCCATTCAATTGGAAGCAGATGTTACGGAGGAAGAAATGAAGCAACATGTATTTAGCTTAGCAGGTGATAAGATTTGAGCCGGATAGATCTTGATATTTTTTTCAGAAATTTTGGCGTGTAATAAAACAAGACTCGATCCTTATGGTGGAGGAATTATTTGAGACTGTGCTGATCAATAAAGGTGTTAATTCAACATGCATAGCTTTGATGCCAAAAACATCTATCATTGCGAAATTGAATGATATTCATCATTTTAGCATGCTAACAAGCTTTTAGTATTGCTAAAATCCTTTTGAACGGATTAAAGAAGGTTCTTCCAAGTTGAATAACCGGCTCCTAATAAACCTTTAATTTCCAGGAAGATTTATCACAAATAACATTTAATTTCCCAAGAATGTGCACATTCGGGGAAGATAGAAAATAGGCATGATATTCTATGTAAATTGGACTTGGAAAAAACTCACGATAAAGTGGATTGGGGTGTGCTTCCAAAATAGGGAGAGTGATGGGCTTTGGATAGAAGTGGAGAAGGTAGATACAAGGTTGTTTGTCTAGTACTCATTTTTAGTGATTATTAACGGTAAGCGCATGACGTTCTTCAAAGCTACCAGAGGTGTAAGACAAGAGGATCCATTGTCAGCTTTTCGTTTCACGCTGATGGCTGAGGGTGTTATTTGTGATGCTAAGGAAGATTGAAGAAAAGTGTTTATTAAATAGTTTTTAAATTTTCAAGAGAGGATCCAAGTATTTCGCATTTCCACTATGTAAATGATACATTAAATTTTCTGTAATTCATAAATGAGTCAAATGACAAGATTCCTAAGATATTGTGAAGTGGTATTATATTTGAGAGTGAATCTTGACAATAAATTCAAGATATTATTGGCCCTTTAAATGTCTCTATTAAAAATGTATAGAGAAGCGAATCAGGAGGCAGATGCATTGCCTAGACAAGGAATCAATCGCTCAGTGTTACTTATTGTCAACTGGAAGTTGTAAATGATGGGTTCTTTATGCTCATATGCGGGTTCTTTATGCTCATATGCTGCAGTCATGTGCCCTTTTCATTTTAAGTTTGGTGGTCTTTCTCCAAAAACAAAATAATGGATGGGGCTTGTATAATGCCTAGGCCTTATGATAAAAAAAGCGAAGCCGCACCTCAAAACCTTGCAAGGAAATGCAGTTTAGATATGCAAAACCCTATGATGACCTCACACCTGATTATGAAATTCAAAGCTCCTAAGATGGTGCAAATCTAATGGATATGAGAACACTTGGAAATGGATGATCCAGACAACGTGTTAAAAGATACCGTACTTTTGAAGCTTGAATTTTTTTTTTCCCCCAAATCATAATTGTCATAGTAAGAGATGATCTAATTGAAGGTTTTTCAGTGCTCAAGTTGCGATTTCTAATGATATATGATGTGTGTTTCCGTTAAATGTGTAGGTAAATATGATATGATTATGACTCCACAATAATGGAAAATAACTAGAGAACCACACATTTTTTGGAACAAATTCATACTTATTTTATACAACGAAAAAATTCGGATTTAGATACCTCCGATTCAGGTCTTGAAATGATCACAAACTCCAAAAACATCGAAAAATACAGAAAGCAAAAAATATCAGTACCAAGGGACGCATATGACCGTATACATGACTATACATAGGAACATTATCTTCCTCACTACTATATGTATGTTATAAGATTGCATACTCCTTGGGTAAAAATTAGGGAGGAGGGTCTTCTTGGTCTAAAAGCTATGAGATCCACATAAGAGTCTACATACAAGTATAATATCTGAATCCTTGGATCTAAACTTCTAAAAATTGGGCATTCTATATTCAATGACTTTTTCAAGTAGATTCAAAGAGATTATTCAATTTTTTTGGTTGGTTGCTAGATTAAGTTACATATCAAGCCTTTGAAGTTCTAAAAAAATACTCCTTCCAAGGGAGGAAATTCATAATGTTTTGAAATAGATTATTGTATGTTAATATAATAGAAAAAGTTTTAGATGATTGCAACCTCATGTTATAGAAGTGGGGCCTAATGTCATAGAAGTGAGGTGTAACTCAAAAATCCAGTAGAAAAGAATTTTTCAAAGTTGGAAAATCTTCGAAATGATCATCTCTACCTCAAGAAATCAGAGATTTCCAGTACTGAAACACCTTTCGACACTAATTTCAAAATAGAAAACCAAAGTTGGAAAACCTCAAGAATCAATGCAATTCTGAGGTTTCTTGAATCAAAATCGCCCACCTCACGGTCCCAATCATTCGTATCGACGATTTTTGCATCACTGCTTTCATAGCCAATAATGTTTCTCTTTTTTGGGCAGTAGTAAGAATATCGTGCTCTACAAGTCCTACCATAACTTCTCATGAAGCTTATTTTCGCATCTTAACCACAAACTTTTGCTTTTGCCTTATGCCTGTGTCACGATTTATAGGTTGAAGAGAAAGAGGTTAAAGCAATAGTTGCTCACTGAACCAGGGCATGAATAATAAGAAATAGAAAACAAATGCAATGTCCAAAAGCATTACAGAGAAACAAAATGCCTCGTGAAGGGGGAACCATCTGATCTTTTCCAAATTCAGGATTGCTAGTTTTCATGACAATGTAAAATTAGAGTTAGTGGAAATTGAGTATGGCAATTTCTGCAAAACTGGGCAGGCTTACTCCTAATTCCCAAGGTTGTGGCCCCATTGGGTTCTAAACGCATGCTTCCCAATTCCATCTTTTTTAAGATTGATTTGTAAAAGGAAAAAATGCAGCTTAAAAATTCATTCTAGAAGGTTGTTTGGATCTCAGAAAACCCTACATTGTATCATCTCAACCTCAAGATCTATGGATATGGCGAAAAAAAAGATTTCAAGTATTAAAAATAATGTGTATTATAATTAAACATCTATATAGTCAATTTTTATAATTTCTAAGCTTTTATAGATCTACTTGATCTACACCATTTTTTTAGTTTTAAATTTCATCATGGGTGAGAATAGACTTTAGATCATTGTAAGGATTTTCAGAATTGATATTACATCTTTTTGCAAGATTTAGAGGTACATCTTACTTTCATTGTTTAAGGTTAATTCCTTATACAAACCACAACCTCTGTAAAATCCAAAAATGTGTATTTTTAAATCTCAATCTTATCTCTTACCAAAATAACCATAAATAAATTAGGAAAAGTACACAAATAGACCATTTACTTTTACAGTGAGGAAGTCACAATCATTGATATCTGTCGGATTTCAAATCGAGTAGTTGTAAGTGTGTAACTAGCCTGAGTCAAAAGTTAGAAAACAAATTCCTCTACCTTTGTGATATGCCCTAAGCCATCCAATTTAACATGACTAGGAGTAGTTTTAACCTCTTGTAATAAAGATAAACGTCTCATAGTTATATACAATGCCAATAAATTAATACCATTTTGGAGATCACCAAAAAAGTAAGTTCTAAACTTGAAATCAGCTCCAACCCCCTGGAGGCAAACCACCGCAAATTTAAAGTTGAATTCATCAATAAATTTCCAGATAAATTCCTCAGAATCTTCATGAATATATGCCTATATAATCATATATTTCTGAAGAAAACAGTGCCCGCGAACCCGAAAGGTGCAAAATAAGCCTACCACTTGGCAGGTCTTAGATCTGAAGCACCAATTGTTGCATAAGAATGGCTAGGGCACTGCCCATTGAGATGTTGATAACATTAACTGCATCGTTGTTAAGCTGCAGCAACAAAAACACCTAATTAATTACACAATTTGGGGTAAATATAAATAAAAATACTAAGCCGAACCAAACCAACTATCATATTCATTAGCATAAACCTTTATCTAGTCAATATATCTTACCCAACTGCTTATCCATTTTCTACACGTAGGAATAGCCAAAGATATTCTACTCCCTCAGGAGTATACAGTCCATTTACTCCCTCGAGGAAAACCCCACCTAAGATAAATTTTAGGCAACTTTGCTGATATAACCTCTTTAACATATAGATTAACCCCAATAAAATTCCTAATTGCACCATCAAAGCACTTGAAAAAATAATGCTCAAGATCGACTAAAAATTGTCCAATTTTAGGGGATGAAATCCAAGAGTTAGAAGACTTAAATTTCAATTTTTTTATCTTTTAAGAACAATCATCTAATAATTCTTAGATGGTTCCCCAAATTTCAGATTGACAAGTAGGTCATTTGACCAAGGGAGTAGAAGTAAACTATGCTCCCGAGGGAGCATAGATTAGTGCCCTTACAAATATCTCAAATCTTTCAGTACTCATTTCAAGTTAGAAAAGAGAAAAAAACTGAATAAATAAATAAAGACACTGTGGAGAAACATTTTTGTTTTTATTGTTTTTTTGATAAAGACTCATTCTGCTACGAAGTAGTTTTTGTCAGAGATGGTAAAATCGGCGAGCCTCAAATATTGCACAAGTTGGCTTGGAACGTGGGGCCCCAGTTCTAGATGGTCATGAACTGATGAATCACCCAAATTTGTCTGGAACTGGTTCACTGTAGAACATGTGCAATTTTATTTCCTATTATATGATTTTTCCTTCTTTTTTTTTTACTGGATTCCCCAGTTTTACGATTGTTTCCGTGATTTACCTGAAATCAGCGGATCAACACGTATCGGAGAGTACTGAGTTGGCACCTGTTTTTTAAACACTGGCATTTGTTAAGAGTCAAAACCAATCTTCATGCTTCCTTCTGAATAGATATTAACACTACTCACACAAAAAAGATAAATGAAAAAACACCCCCAACAGATACTCAATGTTCAAGAATTTGGCCACCCTAGACAAGAAGGCCAAAACACCTAGGCACCCCTTAGGCGGGCTTCCGAGACGTCGCGGGCCAAGGCCCCCAAAACGCTGCTTAGGTGCTCGCCTTGAGGTGGGGGCTTTGGTGGCGCCTCGATACAGGAAGGCTGAGGGCTGAAATAGGCCCTCGGCCACGGGTATTTTGGGCATGTCCCCTTTATAAAGAAGGGGAGGGGGGTTTTGGGGACCATTCTAGTCCCTAAAACTCCTTTTGCCTATTTTAGAGAGAGAAAAACTCTTCAAGAACTTAGATTTTGAGATTTTCTTGAGATTGAAAAAAATTTCAACATTGTCTATTTCTTGCAAAATCAAAAGATATACTTTCTAATATTGTTTGGGGCTTGGAGTGGTCACATAAGAGGATATTTGGCAATCACCAGTTTGGCTTTCATTTTGAAAAGGTTAGAGCATTACAATATTTTAAATTTTTTTTTTTTTTGGGTGCAATGTGTTATGATTTGACATTATTTTATTTTTATCTTTTGTGATATTTTTACATGTTTGTAGTTAAAAACTTGAAATATTTTGTGAATATTTCCTAATTTGGGACTAGATCAAATTTATTTGGAAAAGCTTAGTTTATTACAGTATTTGAATAAGGGTTTGATATTTTTTTGGGTGTAATGTGTTATGATTTGATGTTCTTTTATTTTTTGTTTTTCTTTTTTGTTGTATTACATGTTTGTAATTGGAATATTTTATGAATATTTATCGGTTGTGACTAATATTTTGTGAATAGTTTTAGCAGGGTACTACCTTAACCCTGCTCACTTTTATACTGATCACGAGATACATAACAAGACTAAGTTTATGAAGCAATCAGCCAATGCAATATCAAGCTCAACCCTGATCCCAAATAGTGTTTCAAAACATGAACTACCCAGTGCCTAGGCGGCTACCTAAGCGGTCTCGGACGCCTGGGCGCAGCGCTAGGCCTAGGCTAGGCAACCAAGCTAGGCGGCAATCCATAGGCGACTGCCTCAACAGTACAGCACTTGTCTAGGCAGGCGCCCAGTGCCCTGCCCAAAGGCAGAAATGATTTTTTTATATTAAGGGTTCTATAGGGTTTTTTTGAAAAAAAAAAAACTTTCAAGGTTGGGTTTTAGGTTTATTTGAAACCTAAACCCACAAGAACCCATTTTAAAGAGCAGTGTTCCAAAACGTGGAATGCCCAGCTCCTAGGAGGTCCAGGAGGCCTGGGCACATCGCCCAAACCTAGGCGGACAAACTAGGTGGCCGCCCAGGGGCAGAAATGACTTATTAAGGGTTCTATTGGATGTTTTTGAAAAAAAACGTTTTAAGGCTGGGTTTTAGGTTTATTTGAAACAGAAACCCACAATAACTCATTTTAGAGAGAGAGAAACCTCATAAAAATAGATTTTATGGTTTTCATTGGATCAAAGTGTTTTTCAAAGTTACGGAAAATAGATCCAAACATCACCCAGGTAGATTAGATTTAGTTTTGGAGTTTTTTTAATCCTATTGGAGGGTGTTTTTGAATATTTTAACATCAAAAAACATCTCAGAGGTGGAAGTTTGGAGTTCGAGCAATCAAAGTAAGTGCAAAACTTTATGTTTTAGAGTGCTTGTTTTATTTTGAGATGTCTTCTTCAGGATCTAATCGTAATGGAAATCCAGGTTGGAAATATGGATATAACCCTAATCTGAATGACAAAAATTGTATAAGATACAAGTACTGTCAAAAATATACAAAAGGGGGCATAAACCAGTTTAAGAAACATATTGTCAGTATTAAGGGGGATGTTGCCCCTAGTAAAAATGTTCCTGAAGCTATCAGCGAGGAGATTAAACAATATATGAGCTCTGTAAACCAAAAACAGGAATAAAATCCTTGTCATTTAAATAGGTCTATTTCTGGTTCTGCTAGAAGAAGCGACCCAGGTTAGAAATATGGTCATAACCTGAAACCAAACGATAAAAGTTGTATAAAGTGTAATTTTTGTGAAAAAGATACCAATGGGGTATTAATTGATTCAAGAAACACCTTGTCGGTATTAAAAGAGATGTTGCTTCTTGTAAAAAGGTTCATGAAGCTATTCGGGATGAGATTAGACAATTTCTGAATTTAGTATAACCAGAAAATGATGAAAATGAGCCTTGTTCTATGGAAATATCTTTTCCAGGTTCTTCTAGAAGTAGTGATCCGAGTTGGAAGTATGGTTATAACCCGAATCCGAATGACAAAAATCATATTAAATATAATTATTGTGGAAATGATACTAATGAGAGTATTTACCAGTTCAAAAAACACCTTGCCGGTATTAAAGGAGATATTTCTCTGTGTAAAAATGTTCCTAAGGATACCAAGGAGGAGATTATACAATATTTGAGTTCAGGGTAGGGTAGAACCACCCAAGACTCCTAGGGCCTCGTCTGCACATAGTAAGAGGGAAGTAGAAGAAGAGAAGGAAGAGGCAGATTCAGAAGAAACAGAGGAGGACGAATGCTATGTTGAAGAGGGAGATGACTCTGATGATGCTGGCCTCGAATCTGATACATCTAATGAGGCTTAAACTACTCCTTTTGATGATGATGATGACTGAAGAATGAAGAGTTGAAAACGCTTGACTCTTGGTGTTGATTGTTGAGTGTTAACTATTGTGTCCTAGTCCCCCAGACTGTATATTTTCTGAATTTCTGTATATTTTCTTTTTCTTATTTTTAGTTTATAGTTTCTACTATCTAACTTTTGTTTTGTGTGTATCAGAATCAAACACTCAGTGTATGCTTGTATGGTTTTAGCATTGTATGAAAACATGGATTATGGTATTATGGACTATCAAAATTCTCTTCTCGACTTCTCCTCATTTATGGAAATATCAAATATTATGCATAAAATATCAAAATTCTAATATTTGTGGTTAGAATATCAAAATTCTCCTCATTTATGGTTAGAATATCAAAATTCTAACTTTTTTCTTTCTACTGGGCCGCCTAGGTTCTGTGCGCTCGCCTAGGCGCTGAGCAGTCTAGACCCCCACGGCCGCCTAGGTGCCGCATAGCACTTTTTGAAACATTGATCCCAAAGCCCAAGACAAGGCCTCAATGGATTTTGAAAAGTGTGGGTTTTCAACTAGGTCTCTTGGAAAGGAGTTGGCAATAAGGCAAAGGACCAAGATCACCTCGTACATTTAGAATTTTTTCATTTTTGATTTCACGATTTGAGAATTAAATTTCAATCATACAGATACCTTATGTACTACACTTACATTAATGTGAAAGAGCGGCATGGTGGACAAGCCATGAAGGAAGCACCCAACATTTGCAGTAGATGGCCATGCGTATATTGAATCTAACTTGTACCTCGTCTGAATGTGAGCGCAACTTCAGCACGCTTAAAATGGTAATTACTTATTTTACTTAGTGGTAGGTAAAATAACCTATATTATGTTTTTGTAAATAGTAATTGTTCATTCAACATTTATCTAATAGGTCCATACAAAGAAGAGAAACAAACTTGAGCAAAAGCGAGTGAAAGACCTTGTCTTCGTTCAGCATAATCAAAAGATGCAACAACGTCATCAAGAGCTGAAGCACAATGTAAGAGAAGTTGATGATATGGATGACACTAGCGAGTGGATAGTTGATGGTAGGGAAGATGAGGTAATCCATGGAGAGGGCTTGACCTGGGGCCAGGGTCGTGAGGCTTTGGGGACACCATTGAGCCTGGTTCATTAGCACTATGCGTATTCGCATGTCTCTCGTGGCCTCATGTCAGTGTGCTTTGTGATTTTCTCAACTCCAAATGGTAGGCAGATGATACGCATAAGAGAAAGGTGAATATCTGTTAAAATGAAAGGGGGGGGGGGAGGGGGGGGGGGAAGAAGAAAGTGGGGAAAGAATGCGCTTATATGTATGAGTTTGTGAATTCCCTAGGTC